ATTTATTTGACAGATTGAGAGAGATCACAAGTAGGCAGAGCAGCAGCAGAGGGAGACAGAGGAGCAGGCTTCCCGCTGAGCAGGGAGCCCGATGTGAGTCTCCATCCCAGGACCCTGGGATCATGACCTGAGCCAAAGGCAGCTGCTTAACCAACTGAGCCACCCGGGTGTCTCTTTTAAGATTTTTATTTATTTGACAGAGATAGACAGAGATAGCAAGAGAGAGCATGAGCGGGGAGGGTAGAGAGAATTAGGCCCCCCACTGAGCAGGGAGCCCAACGTGGGGCTCGATCCAAGAACCGAAGGATCATGACCTGGGCCAAAGGCCGATGCTTAACCAGCTGAGCCACCCAGGTGCCCCACAGTTGGCATTTTTAATTTGCAAATCTCTTTAATGTCTGGCTTAATAGAAGACAGTTGGGAGTCTACTTCTGTGTTCAGTTGGTGAATGAACCAAAGAAAAAGGCAGAAAACATCTTAGTATTATCACGAAAATAGTTTTGACCTTGCGAGTGCTCTGGAAGGGACCACATTTGGGGAACTGCTGCTTTAGGGCCCGGCGGTCAGTGGTCTCGGTGCAAGCCTGGTGGCTGCTTCACGAGGCTCCTCGTCCAGCACTCACTCGTGTGCGGCTGAACCTCCCCTTGGTCTATCAGCGTCTTCCAAGTGGCTCCCGCGTGAGTTCTCCGCCTCAGGCCCCGGCCCGTGCGGCTCGGGAATTGGCCCACACCGCGGAGTGGGATCCCGTGCAGAACGCCCACCTCCTGTTTCTGCATTTCCCTTTTGTTCGTTTCTTGAGCCCTGGAATCCTAGCTGCCTTGGTGACCCTGAGCCCCCGTTTTGCTGTCCCCATCCCGGGAGGCTGCCAGAAGGTCCTGCCCCAAGGGGAAAGGCACAGGCGGAAAAGCGTGTCTCCAGGATCTTGGCTCCCAGAGCGGCGGCCGCCACTGTTGCTCTTCCTGACTCGCAAACTAGGCTCCCCCCACGGTATTTTATTCAGCTGCTGTAGTTGCTCACAGGAGCGTCCGTTTGCTCTAAAGCCTCCAGCTTGGCGGGTGTGGACGGCAGCACAGTTCCCCCGTTTGCTTATTAACTTAGTCCGTCTCGAGACCCTCCCCACCTGTTCACGAACAGCCTCCCCGTCCTTGCTCAGTCTCTTGACGGACGGGACGTTGGTGGCTTCATTAGGCAGTTTCCAGAGCGCGTCTAGTTGTGTGTGTGCGAGCTTGGACACATCCACACACACGTGTAGGTCAGACTCCCAGAAGGGGAGCTGCCAAGTCTCTAGTGCACCTGAATGGTTATTTTGAGAGCTGTCGTCTCATTGTCCTCTGTGGTGGCGAGCCACTTCGTCCCCCACTCCCCCCCAGCATGTCCGAGAATGGTTTTAGCCGAACGGCCTCAAAGCCGTGGCCAGACAGGGAGAAGGGGCAGAGCTCTCCCCTTCCCAGCTGGCCTCTGTGCCTGAAGCCAAGTCACACTGTGGTCTCTCCCAGGACACATTTGACATCCGGATCCTGATGGCCAAGTCTGTCAAGTACACAGTGAACTTCTTAGAAGCCAAAGAAGGAGATTTGCATAGGTACTGGCACCCATGCCCCACTGCTAAGCCTGGCTCCTGCTAGGGTCCAGGACCGGCACAGACTCCCTCAGGCCTTCTCTCCCCCAGGGCGGGCCGGCAGGGCACCCGGGACACTGCACCCAGCCACCCCTCTTCTCTCCTGGCCGTCCCTGTTCGGCTTCCCCAGCAATCACTGCACTTTGCCTTCCAGGATAGAAATCCCATTCAAATTCCACATGCTGCATTCCGGGCTAGTTCACGGCCTGGCTTTCTGGTTTGATGTCGCCTTCATCGGCTCCATGTGAGTGCAAAGAGTGCAGGGTGTGCTACGCGCGCCGCCCCGGCCCAGTCCCAGCAACTTCCTGCAGTTGTGATCCCCAGGGTGGGCTCGGGGCTAGGACAGGACAGGACAGGACTGCTCTAGGCTCCCTGTCCCTGCAAAAGCAATGAGAGCTCCCCTCTGAGCCAGAGACTGTTGTTGGTGGGGGGGTGTCTGTCTTGTTCTCAGTAACTGTCCTTCATGGGGCCTGGTCTCCGTCTCTTGGCAGAGGTCAGGGTGAGTGGGCCCGTCCTAGCTGTGGTGTGTGCGTGCACATGGACGTGTGTGCATAGGCGTGTGCCTGGGATGCCGGGCCAGCCAGCGTCTCAGCTCTGGGGCCCCAGGGGACTATCAGAGACGCCTGGGGAGAGCTCGAGGCGCACAGGGCGGAGGCTGCAGCCTGGTCCCGCGTGCGCCTGTCCTTGCTTGGCAGAATGACAGTATGGCTGTCCACGGCCCCGACGGAGCCCCTGACCCACTGGTACCAGGTCCGCTGCCTGTTCCAGTCACCACTGTTCGCCAAGGCTGGGGACACGCTCTCAGGGACATGTCTGCTTATTGCCAACAAAAGGTGGGAGCTGCCACCCGGGGCTGGGGGAGGCAGGGGTCTGTCTCCCCAGCCAGCTCATGGCGGTCCTGCCCTGTCCTCTCTGCAGACAGAGCTATGACATCAGTATTGTGGCCCAGGTAGACCAGACGGGCTCCAAATCCAGTAACCTCCTGGATCTGAAAAACCCCTTCTTCAGGTAGGATGGGCCCGTAGCCTACACAGGGGGTGCCCGTCCTGCCCTGCGGCCTCTCAGCCCTGCGCGCTGGTCTGTCTGTGCTGCAGATACACAGGCACGACGCCCTCGCCCCCGCCCGGCTCCCACTACACGTCCCCCTCGGAGAACATGTGGAACACGGGCAGTACCTACAACCTCAGCAGCGGGATGGCCGTGGCTGGTGAGTGGCCGGTGGGGGTGGGGCGGGGCGCTCCCTGCGGGGGGGGGGGGGGGGACACGGCCTCCCCACCCCTGACCTCGCCTGCTCTGCACACAGGGATGCCGACCGCCTACGACCTGAGCAGTGTCATAGCCGGCGGCTCCAGCGTGGGCCACAACAACCTGATTCCTTTAGGTGAGTGTCCCCTGGGGCCTAGGGGCGGCGGGGTGGGCGGCCACAGTTCTCTGGGGTCTGGGCTCTCTGCGCCACGGTCGCCGTCACTCCCTTCTCTTCCTGGGGCTCCCGGCAGAGGCCCCGCGTTCCGCTCTTCTCCGCCTCGCTCTGCAGCCGCGGCGCCCACCCTCCCCACACCCTAGTGACGAGCGCGTGGGCCGGGCCGGGGGCGGTGACGCCGTCTCCCTTCCTTCCTCCCTCCCTCTTGCTGCGCAGCCAACACGGGGATTGTCAATCACACCCACTCCCGGATGGGCTCCATAATGAGCACGGGGATTGTCCAAGGTAACGGCGGGCGGCGGGAGCGGGGCCCCGCGGGTGTGAGTGTGCGGACCCCGGGCCGCCCGCCTGCCCTCTCGCCTGCTCTCTGTCTCTGTCTGACTCTGCCGCGGGTCTGGGCGGGCGAGGGGGCAGAGCCGGCCCCTCAGCGCCCGTGCCACCCCCGCCCCACAGGGTCCTCCGGCGCCCAGGGCAGCAGCGGCGGCGGCTCCAGCGCCCACTACGCGGTCAACAGCCAGTTCACCATGGGCGGCCCCGCCATCTCCATGGCCTCCCCCATGTCCATCCCGACCAACACCATGCACTACGGGAGCTAGGCCGCTCCGGCGTGGAACAGACTGACAGCACCAGGAAACCAAATGAACACCCCGCCCACCCCCTCCCCGCCTGGGCGGCTCTCACCCCCGCACCGGGGAAGCCCCAGCACCCGGCCCCAGCCCTCTGCTCTGGGAACTCGGACACTTTTCTACACGTCGCCGCCGCCGTCCCCTCTCCACCGCCCACCCACATCTTGGCCCTGAGCGTGTGTCGCTGCCATATTTTACACAAGATCATGTCGTGGGAGCCCTGTTTCCCCCTCCTGCCCTCCACCCTGACCTGGGTTTGACATCTTCTGTAACAGGCGTGTCCGGGGCTAACAGCTGCAGGCCCGGAGTGGGGGGGGGGGGGCGCGGGGAGCAGCTGCCACCCCACCCGGTCCCTTGGCGCCTGCCCCCCCCCCCTTGCCTGTGTCCAGTGGGAAGGCGGTCCTGACTGGGCGGGGCCTCCCCTTCAACTACCAGGCCTTGGTCACAATGGGCGTGACATGCTGCTTTTTTTAATTTTATTTTTTTACGAGAAGAACCAGTGTCAATCACAGACCCTCTGAGAAACCAGGCCGGCCGGGCCGAGCCAGCAGCCCCTCTCCCCCCACTCAGAGGCTCAGTGGTGAGGGGCAGCCCTGCCGAGTCTTCAGGACAGGGGTGGGGCCAGGCCTCTGGAGACCCGAGGCCCCCCTCCCACCAAAGGGTTCACCTCACACTTGAATGTACAACCCACCCCGGCTGTCGGGAAGGCCCTCCGTCCTCGGCCCCTGCCTCTTGCTGCTGTCCTGTCCCTGAGCCCCTGCAGGTCCCCTCCCCCACCCCTGCCAAGTGTTAGAACAGGTGGCCCCATGGGCCGCGGGCCTGGAGGGAAGGGTCACTGTCAGCCGCTTGGGGCCGACATGGGAAACCTCGAGAATCCATCGTGGAAGGCGTCCTTTTCCCTTGTAGCTCACATTAGGCCTGTTTATTTCCCTCGATATTTGTAGACGCTCCAGTCCCTATTACTATGATGGCATTCTGGTCCCTCCCCAGCCTGGGAAGGGGCCTTGCAGGGACCTCTGCCCACCCCCCCCCCAACAAAACAAATAAACAAGGAAAAGTATGTTTCAGCACAGGCAGTTTTCTTCTACTTCTGCTCCCCCGTTGCTGACCCCCCCGAACATGGCCGTGGTGGAGCTCAGGCTCGGCCCTGGGACCCGCTCCCTGGGCACCCAGGAAGGGCAGGCACAGTCGAGGCCGGGGTGGCCCTGTCTGCTCTCCCATGTGTCCCATCAGGGAAAGCAGAAGACTTGGCGGGGAGCCCGGGGGCACCAGCCCCCCTGGAAGCTCTCTGCTTAGCTGCCCTTTTCCCACCTTTCTACAAATTCTCGGAATCACCTTTGCATAGAAAATAAAAGTGTTTGCTTTGTAAGAAAAGTCTGGAAAGCAGCAGAGTGATCTCAAGGTGTCAGGGGAGACTTCGGTCATCGTCTGAGGGGCAGGGCGGGCAGTGGTGTCCCCTCATGCTGGGCCTGAAAGAGAGACGCCTGGGAGCGGAGCTGTGACTCCTGGCCTCGGGAAGGAAGGGCGGGAGAAGCCCCCAGGGGCCGCGGGAAACCGGCCTCACCTTCCGGCTGGGCATTCCCTAGGTGGTGTGGGCTCTAGCAGTGGGTGGCGGCAGGAGGTCTGGGGACAGAGATGCAGCCTGCGTTGGGGGGGCTGGGTGCGCCAGAGGCAGCGGCTGGAAGAAGTAAAACTGTGCCAAAGCCCTTGGGGTCAGTGTTGGGGGACAGTCGGTGACACCCCCCCCAGCCCGAGGCCCAGCCCTGATCGCCTGTACCTTACAGCCCACGGCCAGGAGGGCGTGGAGGAGCACGACGGTCGAGAGCAGCACCGCAGCCACCAACCTGGTGTCCTCTCGGATGACAGGCCAGAGGGTGAACACCAGGCTAGCGGCTGACAGGGCCAGGGCCAGCCCCCCGAAGAGCCACTGCAGCCATGGGACAGGGATGAGCCACAGCACCTGGGGGTGACATGGGCAGCCGGTTGCCAGGCCTTCCACCGAGCACCTGTCGCCGCCCCCCCACCCCCCGCCGCAGCCTGGGGCCGCACTTACCACGGTGGGGATGAAGACAAAGAGGGAGTAGCCGTAGACGCACACGGTTTCCAGGAAGGTGTAAGGCCCCATGCGCTCGCGGACCCCCTTCCGCCACTGCAGGAAGGCCCACAGCGCCAGCGGCACCAGCCAAACGTAGCAGTAGATGGTGACGCCGGCCACAGTCACTGGGGGGCGGGGATAAGGCAGGCCGTCTCCCTTGGGGCTCCGCGGCACTCCCAGCTCAGGAAGGGCCGGGGCCTCGCCCACTTCACTTACCCTTGTGGAACTGGGGGCTGTAATGGATAGAGGGGTCTCTCCTCTGGGCCAGCACCAGGGTCAGGTTGCCAGTGACGGCCAAGACGAAAGCCAGTGTGGCACAGATCCAGAAGGGGCCTGCGGGTCGGGTGTGGTGAGGAACCCAGGACTCCCAGGACAGGTGACTTGTCCCATCTCAACTGTGCCGGGACCCAAGCCTCTTTCTAAGTCCGAGCTACCTCCACCTTGACTTGACTCCCCCCGACATCACCAGTGATGACGTCCTGGGGTGGCTGAAGCCAGGGCTGGCTCTCAGTCCCTCAGCTTTCCTGACTTTTCGATAGCTTCTGCTGTATGTAGCTGATCTCCCTCTTCTGAAAACACTCCCCAGGTGCTTTCTAGGACTTCATGCTCCTGGCTTCTGCCACATCACTCCCCTGGCAATTCCTCAACATCTGTAAGTCCCTGACCCCTTTAATAATGGGGACCTTCAGGACACAGTCCTTACTCCTCCTCTCCATCTGTGTTCACCCCCTGCACGATCCTGCCCAGCCTCCGGCCCTTATGTCACATCGAGCCTAATGTCTCCCAAATATCTCAAGTCCGGTCTGTGCCCTGAACCACAGGCTTATAGTCAACATTTCCATGGGCACGTCTTGGCCTCTCCAGTTCCAGCCTCCCACCCCTGTGCTCTCCCCTCCAACCTGCCCAGCCTTTCCAGTCAGTAAATGACAGGTCCATCCTTCGGGTAGTCCCTATGAAAACCCCAGAGCCATCCTCGCCTCTCTCTCCTCCCATCCCACCTCTGGCATGTCAGGACATCCTGTCGGCTCCAACTTTGAGATCTAGTCCACAGTCTAACCACTGTTCTCCACCTGGGCTGGGTCCCACCATCCCACACGAGGAAAATGGCAGTCACTGCTCCCACCCCGCGCCCCCCGCCCCCATAGCCAGAGAAAGCCTCAGAGCCCTTAACTGAGATTCCTTCTCAAGGAGACCTGTACAGCAAGTGCAGTCTCCTCCTGTCACCTCTGTGACCTCATGCAGCTCACTACACCAAGGACAATACTGCCCCACCACTGGACCCGTGTCCCCTTCTGGAATGTTCTTCCCCTAAATCTCCTCAGCACCATCCCTTAACACCAACAAGGCCTCATCCTTCTCTCATCTTTCTCACAGGGGTCTCCCCTGTCCAACCCATGCGAAACGGCAACTCACACGCTCTAAACTGCTCTTCTTCTGAGCCCTGCTGCCCTTGGAAGCCTTGTACATAACCATCTCCCCACACAGATCGGGTGCCCCTTGCTCTCTGGGAGTGCCCCCTGCTTTCTTCTCAGCTGGAATCCAGGGGCCAGCACCCGGTCCACGTGTGCTGAGTTCTCGAGCTGAACACACACCACCACTCACCATACAGGTCCGGCCGATTCCGCAGATGGTGCCGCACAAAGTTGTGGCCAGGCCGGGGCAGCAGCGAGCCTCGGATTCGGTCCAGGACCTGGAGACAAGGTGGGGCTCAGAGTGGAAGCCTTGCACGGGGCCCTTTAGCCCCCACAGAGGAGAGGGCCAAGCTCCTGCCCTGCCCTCAGAGGCTCCCTCCTTGCTGACCTCCCATCTCCCCTGCCTGCAAGGACTCAGATGTTCCCGCTGGATTCTCGACGGGCTGGAGCCGTTCCCCCTGCCGGTCTCAACATCCCAGTGTGCTGCCAACTGAAGGAATCTTCTGGGCCAGTCATCTTTCCCTTTGCTTCCCCTTCCCTTGGCTTGGCTGCCCTGAACAGCCTGTCATGCTGTGACGTGTCTGGACTGTGAGGTAGGGGACAGTCAAGTCCTTGGTCTCCTCCTGCCTACATCTCTCTCCACTATGTCCCCTGTTCCACACCCCAAGTTTATTACCTCCCTTCCTGGCCTGGCTCCTGGCAAGGACCCACCGTCCTTGCACCATGTCTGCTACTTCCACTCATTCCTCTCCTGCTCTAAGCCCGTTGATGGCTTCCCAGCACCCTCAGGATAAAATCCAAACTCCTTGACACAGCATACGAGGCCTCTGTGCTCTGGCTTCCGCCTACCTGTCCCCCACTTCACACTCTCCAACCAGACCAAGTGACAGCGGGCTCCTGTGACACTTCATGCCTTCTCTCACCTCCGGTCCCCTGTATCTGCTGTTCCCTGTGCCTGTAACACGTGCTTTCCTTCAGTCTGCCCAGCTGAGGCTTCCTTCTTTCCCTCTCAGCACACTGCTCACCTCCTCCAGGAGGCCCTTCTCTAACCTGCCTGAGCACATGCATCTGTGTTCCCACAAGCCCCGGTCACACCATAATCAGTTAATCCAGCCAGCCTGGGTGGGAACTCATTGTTCTCCCACCTGGGCATCCCCAGCACTCCGGTGTCCAGGAAGGGCTCAGTGATGGTGGCTCGAGCCCCATGTGACTGCAAGCCCCATCCCACCAGCTTCCCGGGCCTGACCTGGGATGTGTCCACGTCAAAGAAACTCTGATAGTAGCCAAACGTCCAAAATCCGGGCTGCTGCTTCTCCTCCTGCAGGAGCTGAACAGCATGGGCTTTCAGTAGCCGCCCGTACAGCCTGGGCAGAGGCTGGGGGGCAAGGCGGGAGGCAGGCAGGGCCCCGCCGGGACTCACCGCAGTCCTATCACTCTCCTCCACTTCCTCCTCAGCTCCATAACTGCCACCCGAGTCCACCGCCACGGCCACATGCCCCTGTGGGGTCAGCTGATTGCTTCCACTGGTGGTGGCCGCATCTGGGGTCTCGGCCAGCAGATCAGAAGCTTCCTCGAACTCTACCGAGAAGGAATATGGGACACAGGCGTGTTTTGGGAGTCAAGACAATTTGGTTTGGTCCATGGCTCATCTGGGAGCCAAGACTCCAACTGGGGCCACCGAAGGGCCCAGATTCCTAAATTATGAGCATCTGGAAGGCGTGTTCCCCCACTCCTAGCCAGGGCCTGCGATTAAGGCTGGCTCTGGGATGGGGTCAGCTTTGGGACAGAGGCTCTGCCGGGAGTGGGGTTCGAGTCCGGGATGGGCATCTTGCCTGGGTCGGGGTTAGGGCTCACAGCTGACGGGGATTCATGCTGGCGGTCAGCTGGAACCTGGGTGGGAGGTTCCGGCCGGGTCGCCGCCGCACTCACCGTGGAAGGCCAGCTCGTCGGCCGCTGCCATGGTCGCTCAGGGGCGTCACCGCATCCCGCTCTGAGGACAGAGGCCAATGACACCCGCCCCCAACCCTTTCCGGTGCCCCCCGGGGCCTCTCTCTCAGCCCCGAGCCCAGCCTGGCCACTAAGGAACGGAGCCGGGGGTGGGGGGTGTGAAACTCGCCGTCCCCGCCCCACAGGTGCACCCCGCCCTCCTCACCTGACGCTGCCTCAGTCGGCGTGGCCCATGCTTTCTGCGCCTGCGCGGCCCGCCTCCACGCCACAGCCGACCCCGCTCAGCCAGGACAGCAACATCCGGCACCGGTCCCTTTTCTATCCTCTTCCGATGGGAAACCACTTCCGGCATTGCTCAGGATTGCGCGGGAGGCCCCCGGGCCTTTTTCTTCGCATTCACGGTGTTTCTCCTCGGAAAAGGGACGCCAAGCCGGAAGAGAATGGCGACGGCCGCTCTGAAGAGGTTTTGGTCCCGAAACCGAGAAGAGTCTGGTGGCCCAGCGGCCGCGAAGCCAGGAGTGTGGACACGGTTGGGTGAGTAGCGGCGGGAGGCGGCGGGGGGGTGGCCACAGCGGCCTGCTCTCACCTGTTTGTTCTGCTTCTCTCTCCTCAGGCTCCTGGGCCCGCGTGCTGCTCCGGGACTACGCCGACGCCTGCCGGGACGCGGCGGCGGCGGCGCGGGCTCGGCCCTGGCGGGCGGCCGTGTATACGGGGCTGCTGGGCGGCGCGGCGGCCTGCTGTGCGCTGGCGCCGAGCGAGGCGGCCTTCGAGGAGGCGCTGCTGGATGCGTCGGGGACCCTTCTGCTGCTGGCCCCGGCCACGCGCAACCGCGCCTCCGAGGACTACGTGCAGCGACTGCTGTGGCTGCGGGGTCGCGGCCGCCTCCGCCACGTGAACCTGGGCCTCTGCGCGCTGGTGTACGAGGCGCCCGTGGACGCCGAGGCCAGCCTCTACCAGGCCCGCTGCCGCTACCTGCAGCCCCGCTGGACCGACTTCCCGGACCGAATCCTGGACTTGGGCTTCGTGGGCCGCTGGTGGGTGCTGGCCGCCCGGATGCGCGACTGCGACATCAACGACGAGGAGTTCCAGCACCTGCCGGCTCATCTGCGCGTCGTCGGGCCGCATCAGCTGCATTCCGAGACCAACGAGCGGCTCTTTGACGAAAAGTACAAGCCTGTCGTGCTCACCGACGATCAGGTGGACCAGGCGCTGTGGGAGGAGCAGGTCTTGCAGAAGGAGAAGAAAGACAAACTCGCCCTGAGTCAGGCCGACTCCCTGGTGCGGTCGCAGATCCCCAGATGAGACCCAGGCCTGGGTGCAGACCGGGCCCAAGCCGTGGCGGACCGCCCGCCGCGGATGGTGCAGTGGGTGCGAGCGAGCATCAGATGCAGAGGGACTTAAATAAATTATGTGCAGAGTATTTTTTCCTTGGGTTTTCACAGCCTTTTTGGCCACTCTCCTCTCGTTCCTGTTAGCGGAAGCTAATTCAGAGTTAGCTTAGTTTAGGTCTCCGTCTGGGCTGGTTTAGGAGTTGGGGGAGAGCAAAGCGACAAGACCATGTGAAGCTTATCATTGTCGAGTTATCTGTGAGTCTACATGAGCCTTCCTCACTGAGCCTCAGTTTCTCGACCAAGGCTAATCACATTTGTCAGGTGACTCCCAAGGCGTCCTAAGACCATTCTGATTTTCATTTTAAATTTGGAGTTGAAAAGCTTATCCTCATTTTCATGAGTAGTAGTTTTAATCATTCTGAAATAAAGCTAAGAAACAGTTTCTGGGGGGCACCTGGGTGGCCAGTCCAGCGTCTGCCTTCCGCTCTGGTCTGGGGATCAAGCCCTGAGTGGAACTCTGCTCAGCAGGGAGTCTGCTTCTCTCTCTCACTCCCTCTCTGCGCTCTGTCTCTCTCTGCTTTCCCTTTCTCTCTCTAAAAAAAACAGTTTCAGGGGTGCCTGGGTGGCTCAGTGGGTTAAAGGCCTCTGCCTTCAGCTCTGGTCACGATCCCAGGGTTCTGGGATCGAGCCCTGTGTCGGGCTCTCTGCTCAGCGGGGAGCCTGCTTCCTCCTCTTTCTCTGCCTGCCTCTCTGCCTGCTTGCGATTTCTGTCAAAAAAAAAAAACCAAAAAAACAGAGTTTCAGAGGAAAGAGGAAAAATAGCACAAAGACATTCTTTGTACCCTTCACCCAGCTTACCCCAAATGGTAATGTTTTACAATAAACCGTAGCAAACCAGGGGACTGTCAGTGGTACAGATTTTACAGGGAATCTTTTTGTAAAAACAACCTTTCCCTCACATACAACAGTGATGTTGAAGTGATTTGGGAGGGAAAAACATTTTCTGATCTGGAATTAGCTATAGAATCACAGATTCTCTTTATATTTCAATAACCCTGGAAACCCAGGATCCTGGTGGGATGGAATAGGCTAGTGTACAAAGCTGGTACTTACGTTGTGATAACTCTACTTTAAAAACAGATAGAGGAATGAGGGTACCTCTGTTTCCTAGGTGGCCTGTGGCTAGTTAATAAAACCGGGACATGAAAGGTTGCCTGGCTGGCTCAGTTGGAAGAGCATGTGACTCTTGATCTTGGGGTCATGAGTTCAAGCCCCATGTTGGGCATAGATCTTACAAAAAACAAAACAAACCCCCAAACACCAAAAAATCAAAGCAACCCCATGAAACAATCATCTTTGTTGTGGTGTTTGAGTTTGTGTGTTTTGCTATTCAGTTTTGGTATTTAGACCTTCCGTTCATATTATGGGTATGCTGGACACTGTTTTTTCTTTTTTTTTTTTTAATTTATTCTTAGATTTTTATTTATTCGACAGAGATCACTAGTAGGCAGAGAGGCAGGCGGGGTTGTGGGGAGGGATGCAGGGTCCCTGCCGAGCAGAGAGCCTGACTCGGGGCTCGATCCCAGGACCCTGGGATCATGACCCAAGCCGAAGGCAGAGGCTTTAACCCACTGAGCCACCCAGGCGCCCCCAGTGGATTTTATACCCTTATTTTTGGGACAGGAGCATCTTGCAAGTCAAACTCTATGTTGTATAGTGGGAAAAGTGATGTTCAAAAAGTTGATTTTTCCAAAGCTGTGGCAAAACCATGATTCAAGCTCTTAACTCCCAACCCTGCGGCCTTACTGCTCAAACTCAGGTTCCTGTATTTGATCCTAACAGCCTCCTGCCAGACATTACTAAATGCTGCTATCATTAGCCATAAATAAAACTTGAATACAGTGAGTTAGTGAATACGAAAAAGAAATTAACGAAAACAAATGTGGCAGATACTAAATTATAATCTTACAGTGTTACCTACCAAAGGCCAAAATCCTGATGTCTCTGTTCAATGGAGATACTGACCAACATCAAGGAAAGGTTTAAGACACACACGTCCAGGGAGTCCTGTTCCTCACTGTGATCAGAAGTACTGAAAGCCGCGCGGCCTCACCCCTTGAGCTGGTTATCAAATGCCATTCGTGACATTCAGTTAGGGTGGGTCCCATGCAGACCCCCTGTAGGTGTGAAGCTGAAAGGAGCAGTTGGCAACCAAGTAGACAACTCAGTGTTCCCAGGAATTTAGGGGCTTAGTGTAGGCCTAAAGTCTGTGTGTCTTTGTCTTTGGTTGGAAGGTCAGCCTTTCCCAGAGGAGTCCTCCATATTTTTGCCCCCTCTCTCCAGTACCTTTTGCCTCCTGAGTTGTAAAGCCCGTGGACTGGAACTGTTAGATCAGACAAGGTGACTGGGTGTTGGGGTATACACAGGCTCCCAAAGGGTGGGTCCGGGTGTCTGTTCATTGGTGAGCTCCCAACACCCTATAGCGCTTAGTCCAGTGTGGGCCCCAGCACATGCTGAAAGAGTTAAAGGAGATGATGCATGTGCCCACTGTGGGTAGGAGCTCCTGTGATCCTGCTGGGGAGAGGGAAGCATTGCAGAACTGGCTCCCAGCCCAGAAGAGATCCCACCCCGCCCCAAATCTACCAGTATCAGAAACAGCAAAGCAGACGAACTATCTCTTTCCATAAGGAGTGTAGGGTCTGGGGAAGAAGTGGGACTTAAAAGTACGGTTTGAATCCCTTTCCCATGAGCGTTGTGACTGACCAGGGCCAGAACAATTAGATAAGAAAAAAGAAAGTCAAATTGGAAAGGAGGATTAGTAAAGTTGAAGGATACAAAGTACACAAAAATGTTGCATTATGCAAACTAATACATTGAGAAGGCAATCTCATTTACAATTGCATCAAAAACACCACTTAGGGGGCACCTGGGTGGCTCAGTGGGTTGGAGCCTCTGCCTTCAGCTCGGGTCATGATCCCAGGTCCTGGAATCGAGCCCCGCATCAGGCTCTCTGCTCAGCAGAGAGTCTGTTTCCTCCTATCTCTCTCTGCCTGCTTCTCTGCCTACTTGTGATCTCTGTCTGTCAAATAAATAAAATCTTAAAAAAAAAAAACAACACCACTTAGGAATAATTTTAACCAAGGAGCTGAAAGACCTGTATGCTAAAAACTTTAAGACATGGATGAAAAAAAAAATTGAAGACCCATAAATGCAGATATTTAGTGCTCATGGATGGAAGAATATTGTTAAAATGTCCATACTACCCCCAAACAATCTACAACTTTACCAAAATTCCAATGGCACTTCACAGAAATCGAAAAAAAAAAGTCTTAAAAAAATTTTTTTTTAAGATTTTTTAAATTTATTTGACAGACGGAAATCACAAGCAGGCAGAGAAGCAGGCAGAGAGAGAGGAGGAAGCAGGCGGGGCTTGATCCCAGGACCCTGGGATCATGACCTGAGCTGAAGGCAGAGGATTTAACCCACTGAGCCACCCAGGCGCCCCAAGTCTTAAAATTTGTAGGAAACCACAGAAGCCCTTATATAGTCAAGGCAGTCTCAAGAAAGAACAAAGCTGAGGCGTCATGCTTCCTGAGAAAGTATATTACAAGGTGCAGTATTCAAAACAGTATGGTATCAGCACCTAACAGACACACAGATCAATGAAACAGAATAGAGAGCCCAGAAATAAACCCATGCACAAATGGTCAATTAATTTACAACAAAGGAGCCAAGAACATACAATGGGTAGAGGACAGTCTCTTCAATAAATGGTGTTGGGGGCGCCTGGCGGCTCAA